CAGTTTCCTGTTCTTAGCTGAAAGGAGTGGCACCCGGTGTGTTCAAAGGCACTCAAATCACCTTTCTTCCCCATACTGATGCTCGGTTTGAACTGCAGGAGATTGTCTTGACCGTGTCTACATGCCTAAATGCACTGAGTTGRCGCCATGTGATTGGCTGATTAGAAATTAAGTGTTAATGAGCAGTTGGACAGGTGTACCTAATAAAGTGGCCGGTGAGTGTATATTTTTCTTATAACACTTACTATACATGAGTGAAAAGGGAGCAGGAAGAAGAAAAACCTTGTATAAACCTTTCTCAATAATTACTTTTTTTCATGGCCTCATTAAATCAAGAATATAAATTGCAAACAATATGTCACTCCCCTCATTGCTAACTCAAAAGTGTACGTATGACTTAATCATTTTTCCTTATAAATATTTTGAATTGATTTAAAGTAGAATTTTTTTTCAAATCACAAACTGTTCCATAATTTTACTACATAAACCGAGATACACATTTACTTTAAAGTAGTACACGCAGTTTTACTTTTGAAATCATACTTCCTTCAGTTATTTCTGTCATTTACTTGATTTAATTGAACTTAAGACAAAAAAAAAWTTTTCCAATGCTTTTACATAGTTTTTGTTTTATATATTTTACATGAGATTTCCAGTTAAGTTTATGATCCAAGACAACCCCGAAAATTTTAATTTCATGTACTCATTGCACTAGATTGCCATCTATGGACATTGTAATACAGTCATCTATCTTACGTTACTAAAAATCATAAATTTAGTTTTGTTCCAAATTAGACTCTGTTACTCAGAGARGGTTTGAATTAGACAAACCAAATTTTAATACAACAAACTTACATCTGTCTGGTAATAGTCAAAACCATTTATAGATGATTAAAGAATGTACATACCTCACAATTCGCATTTGAAAATGAAAAGTCAGATGTTGCAACTGACCCCGGGGCTGGGGACAGTTGCAACATTGTTTGGGGGTGGTTACAACATATTATTAATACAATATATTTCACTGTAAATAGATGTTTTATTATTTTTATTTTTATATTATTGCTAAATTAATAAAAACCGTAAGTTATGATATTACAGTGTTATTTATTCTTTTTGATCAAATGATGAATATAGATTAGCCTTGATGAGTAGACCTTATATACATGTCAAAAACTAATTGATATAAAATACAGTTGACTTTTTTCAAGGATAACAGAACAATTTGAGGCAATTAACTTTTGTTTTGCCTATTGTTACTGTACGCCTACATTATGTAACATTTACATTAAACAAACTGGGATTTTAAAACCATTGTTGAAAACAACAACTGTAGAAAATACATCTATTTTATGGTTTAAACTATAAATTTGTCATGAATACCAAATACCCTTTTAAGTGTAAACTTAATTTCAACATCTTAATCTCATCTGTATGTGCTCTGTTTTTATATGGATTTATCGTATGGGGACAGTTGCAACAACTGTTATAACTGTCCCCTTCCTGTCAGCCATGATAAAACCTGGTGTGTTAGCTAAATTAGCTGATCTGGATACATGTTTTGTTCCAAAATTAGACTCTGTTACTCAGAGATGGTTTGAATTAGACAAACCAAATTTTAATACAACAAACTTACATCTGTCTGTTAATAGTCAATAGTTAATAGACATTAGTTAAAAGTCAACATATCACTTGTTTAAACCATATAAGTTTGAGCTGGATCACAAAAACAGTGACAACAGTAAAACAAAAATAAATCTAAGCAAAATAAATAAATAAATAAAACAACTTTGGTACCTAAAGTTGTTTTTTTTTTTTTTCAAATAAATCCTGGAGCAGTTTTTGAATCTTTTTACTTTTTCTTTGCAAGATGGGACATCTAACTGAGTGTGTACAGTGTGAGTGTCTCTGTTTCTGTTTGGAGAAAAATGACGTGTTGCAACCATCCCTTGTTGCTACTGTCCCCGGTCTCCCCTGCTATAATTTATTGTAATTTACTGAACCAAACTGGTTCCACCAAGTCAGGTTGAGTAAATTGATCAATATACAGTATGTACCGTATTTATTCTTGTATAATAGGATCATCATTCTTTGAGCTTACAAAGCGTAAAAATCCAATTAAAAATAACCTGTGTATAATACTATCCCCCCACTTTATGAATGATTTTTAGGGTTTAATTTCTAGTATTATACATGAATAAATACAGTATGTTCTTTGCTCACTAGGTTTAAGTGAAACCAGCTGACATGACTTTGTTGAGTAAATTCAACATTTCCTTTTTTTAGAGCAGAAACATCTTTCATGAGTTTGAACATATTTTATTTGTAACGAGTAACTAGGTGTTACATTTTAAAGTAAAGAAGTAAATGTATCATTTTTAGCTTTAAAATGTAACAAAATAAAACTAAAAGTAGCTGTTTAGTAAAATTACAAACCCGTAAAAGAACTACTTATTTTTTAAAGTACTGTAAGGAAGTAAATGTACTTAGTTACTATAAACCTCTGACAGTTAACTGAATGGCGACAGTTTGCGTCAAGTTCTAGCTTGTTCATCCTTTATAATTAAAATATGTATCTTCAAGAATGATGTGATTTAAAAGAATTGAAGGACCAACCTGAAGTTAATCAGGTCAACATCTAATCCAACCTGAGATGATTAATACTGTGGTTTTAAAAAGACTCAACACACAGGTGAGATTATTAAAGTTTAATAAACCTTTATTTAATATATGCATTAAGAACAATATTTGGTACTTCATTGTTGAGTAAAAAGAGGACAACGAGGAATGTCAAAGATCTCATTTTTTTGGCTGGTGTGGGGAACGTTGGCTACGCTGACCTGATCGACTCGTGTGCAACCGTAAAAAACACTCAGCAGGTGTGTTAAACTAACCCAGAACTGCCTCCTTTCTTTCATACATAGAAATGCACCGATTCAGTTTAAAGCACCAATCAGGCATCATGCCTCAGTCCTGCATTTCTTTTAGGCGCACAGGAAGACCATATAAGGTAAGGGGGTCACAGTTCAAGAGCTTATGCAGAGTGAAAGGCAGTTTAACTTGGTTACACTGATATAAGAGCAGGTGAATCTCTACCTGATGGGGCCGACAGCTACATGCATAATCGGGATACAGAAAAACACAGATGAGAAAACTTACTTTAGGTTAAATCTTTATGATCATCTTCTTTGAGCTGACTTTGTGTAACAAAATAATACTTTTTTTCAACCATTTCTGCCACAATCGGCTCTCCCAAATGAGTTTTTCACAGAGCAAAACAAAAAAACAGATTTATTGAACACAACAGTTTTCTGGAGATGAAACAAAGTCAAGAAAAGTAACAGCGTTCCACCATCTGGATTACAGGACTTCACTTGGCCTTTACATGTAAGCTTTTTAGCTTACATGAAAAGAAAAAAAATAACCGTTATATGTAACTATATGAACACAACACTGATTATACTCAACTGAATGTATAAAAAAAGACTTCAGATCAATGTGGAACTAAAAAGAAATAGCAAAGAGTGACTGTCAGTTTTATCTTCATTCCAATTCTCTGGTCAAACTTGATCTGTGGCTCAAACACCTGCAGGAAAAAGAAAGATAAGGTTAGACTTTAAAGCTGGAGAATGCAGTAAATTAATGTTAAACAAGGTGTTAAAGTGACATTCTGAAGATATGTTCTGTGGAACATAAAGCTCTTTATAAGACCTCAGTTTGGACAAAACAGATTTATGTTGACAGGACTTCCTGTGGCGAGCAGAGCTGCTGTTTACACTGAGTCTTCAGAGTGGAGGCGCTTCCTGACATCCTCCTCCTCACTACTGAACACTCATCTGTATCAGTAATGGCACAAGAACAGGAAGTACAGTCTTCAAGCTCCGCCCCCAAACTCTGGATTTATCAGAGTGGTTTTGAATTCTTCTTGGTTTTTGTTAAGTCGTATAGATGCCTGCAGAAACCAACGCATGGTGCATGAGGTGGAGGGGAAACTAGATGCCCGGGTCCTGGTTGAGCACCAGATCACGGCAGCAGGGTCACGGAGCTGTCTCACTGTCTTGCTCCTGATGCTCCTCAAACTTCTGTCTGAGAGGAGGAGGTGGAAAAGGGTTTCAGACCTGTCAGGACTCGGGCAGTGGCACCTGCAGAAATTTTTTTCAGGGGGGGGCCATGGGGGACTGCTGAAAAACCAGGGGTGGCACAACAAAACTAATATCTATACCAGAAAATTTAAGATGTGTTTGTAAAAATGATAAATTGAAAACTATGGTAATACAGTATAAAGCTATGGATTTGCCAAGAGATGTTCAATTTGTAAATTCTCAGATAAAATCACTGATTTTATGACATTCAGAGACAAAAAACATGAGTAAGTATTTGTAATGTTGGGGGGACCCACTGGTAAAAATTTTTACATAAGTAAATGCCATTTCCTGTATTCTGGTGTATTTTAGCAGGTTGTTAAACAGATTTTTACCTACATAGAAAAACACTTAATGTGAGTATTCTATAGGTAAAATGAAATAAATTTATTTGTTAAGCAAGAGAAACACTGGATGAACTAAAGTTTTATGGTAAATGTGGGGGTTTAAATAAATTAAATTTTAAATTGATGGGGACAGTTCCCTTCAAAAATGATTGTCATTTTATTTAAAAATGTCAAAATACATATTTTAAAGACATTTACAAGGAACAAGCTTTTTAAAATTTAAAGGCATCACCTCTTCTATGTATGTTAAAAAATTATTTGCTTGTTGATGTTTACTTTTGTGAAGAAAATCTATGATTATAAAACCCCAAAACTGGAAATAAAGACTAAAACAAGCACAGTTACAAACTACATCTACTGTTGTGTTATCCCAAATTATTAACTTATTTGCTTTTTATGTGATATAATAAATATGATTTTGGTCTGTGAGAGAAAACTGGAGAACAAAGTTGATAACCTTCTTCTTTGGAGGCAATATGTTGCTCTAACTGTGCCACTGTAC